AAGTAACGAACAACCTATTTGTTCAACTGAAGAAGAAAACTGAAACCTACTTCTGTCACTTTTCTATTCAAACCAAATAACAACACTTGGCTTCCACAAATAATTAACTACGTTAAAGTATATAAACTCATTTTCTTCTCCTTTTAATGTCATGATGACAGTCTATCTAACCAGAAATAATAAACACATTATCTGTTTCAAAACCTTTAAAGCACAAGAAACAATATACACTAGATCAATTTGCCTAGTAAGCACTAGATTTTTATTTTTTAAAGAATTCAGACATATTTGACAAAATCGTGTAAGAAGGAAGAAACAGTCTCTGTGCTTTTTATTTGATAAATTCATTTGAACATAAACTTCGTTTGACTTGTGGCATAGTTATATTTCCATTTATTGAGATGCAACATTCATCAATCAATCATTAATCATATTTCAATTTCATACTAATCTAGATTGACTATATAAATTATATTTGTATTCATTTTAATTTTCAAATTGGCCTGGGGAAAGGAAAATGATAAACAGAAGAGATTTAATTCGAATCCTCATCAATAAATAAATGGAAAGCTTACGAATCAATCAACCGAATTTCTAAATAGCCACAATCATCTCCCAGTAAAGTAATGCTGTGATCTTTTCAAAAAACCAAAGTTTTAGAGAAGAAGGTATATACATGAATTAAGCAACCAGTCACACATAAAATGCCGATTTTTTGCTAAATCAAAATCTGTTGTCCGTCAACTGTATCTTCTTCATTCCGATTCTCCGATTCCATCGCCGGTGAAAAGATAGCTCTAAACATGGCGAAAATGACATCACTGAAGCAATCAAACAAGCCAAAACACTTCTCCTTCATTTTTTCAGAGAAACATTGATCGGCCTCCGCTACCGCCGTGGGCTGAAGATATGCCCATGCCGCGTGCTGTAATAGCGGGTCCTTCATCGGAATTTCTCGCCAGCTGTCTTTACGGCCATTTGTCGGAGACAAAATCGACGGTGGTGAGCCAGGCAAGAGATCCTTCAAGCTGGTGTAGGTTAGGGACTCCATAGTCACCATTTCTACGTCACAAAACTGGAATTGGAGAATGCCTCTTTCTATAGGATCATACATGTACTTAATTAAAGTACCTTCCATATTATCAACAGATTATGTTTTCCATATAAAACACAATTCTAATTAGGAAAAATATTTAGATGAGTGTGTATCCATTCGTTTTTTATTTTGGTGTGTAGAGAGAATTTTTTTATAGGTATGAAAGAAAAAATCTAAAATGAAAGTCCAAACTAGAATATTCTAAATTATTAACACTTTTATTTATTCATGCTCTTGGCATCATCAAAACATTTCTTTATAAGTTATTATTATTATTATTATTTAGGGGTGAGATGCGGATAATAATTATGAGATTATTTTAGTTCGCAATAATAATGAATATTAGTTAGTTTATTTTATATTAAAAAAAAGATAAAATAATCTTAAGAATATCCTTATTTATTTCATTCTACCCATCAAACAATTTATAAGATAAACTCAATGTATTTAAATTTTCAAACAAAATATGTTTTTTATTGGAACTTGTACTTTTATTACTTCTACGGTTAAAAGTCAAGATCATATTTTTTAAAAGGAATTTATTAAATATTAAAGTTTGATTAAACTTAAATTTTTATTAAAAAAATCATAATCACAATTAATCATTTTTTTGCTAAAAGATATTGCGGCTTTTACTTATTAAAATAACAAGAAACGAGTATGGAACGAGTAAAGGGATTGAGGTAGCATAGTGTTTTAGGTGACATGGGGCCTACCGTACAATGTGAAAGGGTAAATTTAAAGAGGACAGGTGGTGACTGACCAATGGAGTAAATTCTTGTCTTTTTTGGCCAATTATGCCACATCAGCTCTTGTTGGTTGACAAATTTAGACCACTTTAATTAAGTAAATGACTAATTTTTAAGTTAATAATTTAATCTATTTATTACTATAAAAGTTACAGGTGTGAATAACCAATTAAGAAAATAGATAAATGAGTTGAGCAGGGGTCGTGTCATTAATTTAATTATTTAAATTAGTTGGTCATTTTAGGAAGGGAGTTCAAATAAGGATAGCTCAATAAAACTAGTTATTTAAAATTAAATTACAATAAAAGACTTTAAATAATAACACATATACATAAAAATAATATTAATTTAAAATTGTCTTTTTTATTCTTATATATGAGTTGTTCTTAATTAGTGTTATTAAATGACCGAAAACATTAGTAATATTATTTATAAAAGTAAAGATTATTCTAATTAATAAAAGGCTAGTCGTTTGTTTCCACTACTAACCTTGGATGTTGTTATAAAAAAAATTATATATTGATATAAATATTTGGGTTGTTTAATTTAAAGTTGTAAAAGATTTATGACAAAAAAGTTGATGGTACTTTTTTAAAAAATAAATAAATAAATAAATATATATATATATATATATATATAAATATATATATAATGTTCAATATTATTACAAGAGATTAAAATCTTTGAAGGCCTAAAACAAAACGTTTTACTAGACTCATCAATGAGCTACCTTTAATAATAAAATAAGAATTCGAATACGCACTAACAAGATGAAAGTCCAAGTAGATAACCAACTAAACTACTAAGAATCTCAAGACTCTTCCTATCTTAAACTATCATTTTATAGGTTCAATACAAAATAAATTATTTCGATATCATTTTATCCTTAATAGTTGTTCTTAGAGGGTGCAAACACCTCAATAGAAAAAAAAAATCAATGACGAGAGATTGTATATTAAAATATTAATATAGGTAAAATATTGAAAAATCCCTCTCAATTAACGTTTTCATAAAGGGCATGTAATAGAGAAATACGGAAGATAATTAAGACAAAGGAAATAGTATTTATGATTCTTTATTTAGTTTATTAATAAATTCTAATTTTAGTTTGTTGTCTTTATTGGTGAATATTCATAAATTTATCGTAATTATAATTGTTTCATCACATAGTTATTTCTCTGTTATGTTTAATACTCCCTCTGTTCCTAATTACTTGTCTACTTTTGAATTGACACACCTATTAAAAAAATAATTTATGACATAGTGAGTTTACTATTTTACCCCTATTAATTATGAAGTGGATGAAAAGTTTTACAATTTTCAAAATAGTTAGTCATTTATTTGAGGGTATAATAGGTAAAAAGAATTTGTCCTTTCTTGATTTGTCAAAATTGACAAGTAATTAGGGACAACTATAAAAGGAAAAGTGGACAAGTAATTAGGGTCAAAGAGAGTATAAACTACAAATTTGAGGATAATATAGTTCTATAAATAGTCAAATATAATATATTTCCACAAAAAGAAATCAAAATACATATTTAAATAATAAAAATTTAAATGTGCTAAATTCATATACTACAGGGATTCAAAATAAAATTTACTAGTAATATTTTAAGGAACAAAAGTGCAATTATACCTTTTGAGAATATAATGTACCAATTTTTGAGAACATGATTTGTATAATAAAAACCAGTCCTACAAAGTGAAGTATGAAAATGATTGAGTATATACAGATTTTATTTTTACCTCAAAAATAAAAATGATATTTTCAATATATCCTCAACTCAAAAGATATTAAAGCAAATCAAAATTAAAATTAGATGTATAACTGAAAGAATCAACTATTTGAGTAATGCTTTACTCTTATGCGATTCTACTTCAATTCTTATAGATCCCCTTTATTCCAGTATTTTGATCTTATGCATTTCCTTTTAACTAAAGATTGAATCATAATTTCCTAACTTATGGTTTTAAATTCGAACCTTCCAAATAAAATTGCCTATGAGTGACAAATGAATTTTCGATGCAAATAAAATTAATCAAAACTTTAAAATAAGAATCAAGCACCTCTCTTATTAATAAATTAAACATTTAGTGCTTATGCTCTTTCTCTCTGAGCTAGACTCTATCAAGAAGTATGGATCTCATCTCCTCATTGAGTCAAGCAATCAAAATCAAACAAGAAAAACATATTTGAACAACTTTAAACCAAAACAAGATTGTTTTGTAATTTATTCACTCACCGAAGGTCTTTCTATTTGTATCAAGAACCAAAAAGTTAAGTTTGTTTTTTGAATTGGTTGTTATTGTGGTACCTCTACTTTTTAAAAAAAATTATTTTAAGACAACGGACACACACAATTCATCGAAAGTCCTACTTTATAGAAAAAAGTTAGAAGTTAAATATGCAATCTATGAAGTATAAGTTCTATTTAATATAGTATATGATCTGCTAATGGCACTCATAATTTGATGCTCTATACAGAGCTCAATCAGCGCGAAAAAGTGATCAAATGATCTTAATGTTGAAGATACTGTCGGTCCATTTTTAGCACTTGTTGGCTATTTAATCTTTCTTTCCTATTATATGGAGCATTGCAGAATTATCCTCCCGAAAACAGAGGATATGTTGTTTGGGTTACCAAATCATATTTGGGGATTTCAATTAGGATGGGTGAAATGGATGAGTGGTGTAGTAAGTTGATAAAGCCCTTGTTACTTTTAGACTAGGGGTAAACACTAAACAGAGGAAGATCTGTTTTGATTATAAGCTTGAGTCAAGTGCTATAGATTGTAAAGTCCATTCTTCCTCACAATCTTACATGATATTTATAACCTAAGGTGACATTTTGTCAATTAATTAAAGAAACACAAATGTCACTTCATCCCTCCAAATCGAGTTCAACAGTCGTACATGGGGGGTGCACTAGTAAGCCCCTGATGTTGCTCCCTAGCTGTGTTGGTCCTTGGAGCTTTTGATGATGACAGCAGAACGAAAGATGTAAACACACAATGAGTATACACAGCAAGATTGGAGCATCCATAGCCTGTATTATAGGTTTTCCTTCCTCAGCTCCATGTTAGGGCATACATATATCCAATCCAGGTCAAGGATTCACACTACTTGGTCTTCTCTAGTAAAGATGGCATAGACCGACCAATCAATCAGAAAAAACAAAAAAGTGAGTAAGCCAGCCTTCTCCACAAAGAGGGGCTTATGACAATCTCAGACTAAAACAAATACAAATACTAACTAGACTGCAATAAGGGTTCATTACTTTAAGGTGGTTAAATATATTTGGATACAATGGGTAGACATAGTACCTTTTTTTCAGTCAAGATAAACTTTGATGTCGATACCATTATCAATGAGGGACTGAACAACCGCTCTAATTTTCCCTTCGAATTTGTCCCTATCTCTAGGTGTATAAGAAGCAGTGTATACATCAGCTTCTCTTGCCCTGTCGGACAAAATCTGACCGACAGACAAGCATGCAGGAATATCACTTCGTGATTTGAGCACTGCCTTGATATCTTTGGAGTTTGTACCGGCTACTGCAACCTGTTTGCATGTAACTCTATGGGTGATTGAGGCTGAAACAAAGCGCTTTGATATGAAAACATCAAGTGTGAACGGTTCCATGTATGCTACAGTCCGTTGCTTGAAAGAAACATGCTTGTTTGGGTTCTTAGATTTTTTCCCCTTCTGGTAAGTGTATGGACGGCTATTGTCATCATCAACAAAATCTTCCACCCCGAAAAAGCTTCTAGGTGCTAAACCAGGCTGCCAAACAAAGCAACAAACTTGTTCAAGGGGCACTATTTCAAAAATATCTGGGTCCATGTCTATAATAAGCTGTAAATTCAAGTACAGATTAAGTTTGATGGTTCGTCACACATTTGTCAAGGTCAACGCCTATAAAACATAAATGCAGGTAATTATGTGTGGACAGTGTGGAACCATATAATTTCACAGATGAAGTGGAACTTGTATATCTTTTAACACTTGCTAAAGAATAACATTTTATCAGTACAGCAGTGCTGCAAGACAAAAGCAAAGCAATCACTTTACAATGTACATACACATCATGTGCTAGCACACCGAAGCATCACACTGTGATACTTGAATGCTGTTTTTTCTCCTTTTTCCATTCCTCCGATTCCTAAAAATGCATGGAATAAAGGGGAACAGTGCTTGCTATTACAACAAGCTCATACATTCAAAAAAAGGAGGAGGAAGGCCACAATTCTAATAAAAGCACAACCGCACAACTGTAGCAAGGAAACCACAAGTATACAAGCATGTAAGCAGGGCTGACATCAGTGCTACAGATATGGAATCAACAGCGTTTCTCTTCTCTCTCTTTCTCAAAAGTCATTCCTTATCATTCTTTTCCCCGATGAAAGTGTCATTCCTTATTTTATAAGTAAAGGATGGGAATCACTTCGAGCTCCTTTCTGAGCCAGAAGGGATTCAGAACTTTAATGTATTTGGTTTGTTTTATGGATTTGGTGAATATCCAATCTAAAAGCTTAAAGGATTTGTTCTCCTATTCTACAATCTCTTCCCTCAACACAATCCAAACTTATCTTTTTCCTGAAGCTGCAGCACATGTCTGCTTCAAATATTATACAAAAGCGAAGGTGAAAAGGTAACAACAGCACACTAAAGATACATAAGGTCAGCACTTTTTTATAAAGCTAGTTACTCTAAATCCCAAATTCATCCATTCATCTTGCCTGCACATCAATTCCCAACAACCTTGTATAATATCACACACAGTTAACACTAAAAATGTGTAATTTCTTCTTTATTGGCTTGTTTTTGTCAACTAAGCAATCACATATATACACAATACAAGTATCTTTCTACATAAGCATCCTCACAACAGAGGAAAAACCCCAACTGATTCCTCAACTAGGCAAAATCAACAATAAAGAGTTTATTTCAACAAAATGGTGGTTGCTTCAAAATGCTTTATGTCCATGGTATGATTATTTCACTAGATTATAATATGCATGTCAACATATTCTTTACAATTTAGAAACGGCCAACATTCTCAAAAACCTACTGTTTGCAGCTTCACCTTTTCACAGTTACATGATTCTATCATCACAGAGTACCTTCCCAGTCACTTGACACTATATAGAACAGCTTTTCATTTAGATATGTCTTAATGAAGATCTAAATACTGCTCGATCATATCGCTTTTGCCTTGAAGTGAGATCTTCACAACAATTATTCCACTTTTACATGGTCCAACAATTTCTCAAACACATCTGTCCATGACTCTAATATTAGAAGTCTAAAACTATTCAAATTTATTTAATCTCTAATTACATGCAACTGGCAAAACTAGATAATTAAACTTGGAATGGAAGGAGAAACAATGTCAGTGAACGTAGATTTGTTAAGAGTCTAGACTCTCTAGAGAACAATTAACTCTTGACTAACTCGATCATTTATCTCAATATGAAAATTGACACTCTGAAAAGATAGAGTTCATTCCAACAAGCTTTGTATGGAAACACGAAGATTATACTGATTCCCATGTAATTGTGGCATTCCTACCATAATATTCACCAGTCAGTCTTACCAGAATGTCATTTGTATGGAAGTTAATGAGCACTCTTCTGCATTTGTTTTAAGTAAAGACCGTCTTTGTTTGAACAATAGATAAACACACCACTGGATAAAACAAAACAAAAAACCTCAGAAGTAACAAGTGGATTAGCTTAGATTTAAATAGCCATGTCCTATTGGAAAACCATTCAAGTCAACAAGACAGAAGCAAGAACATTCGCTCTCTTTCCTGCCAAAGTTATGTATGCACATATGAAAATAGAAAGGCTGCATGAAGTAGTAGCATCAACACAAATCATTTTACCTTTGTAGTATGAAAGCCACTAATTTGCGCACATAGAAAAGGCCTCATCTTCTGACCTCCTCGAGCGCACAACATTTCAGAAACTAGTTTCAGCATACTCTGACCTTCAATCAATTAGACAGAGCATTAGTTCATTAGTTCTAGTACAATCCCACAAAATAGGTAAGTTGGGTTCCAGAATGCAACACACAAATAGAACATACTCCCTCCATCCCAAATACACTCTTGCATGCAATAAATTCCATGAAGAGTGTTTTTCCATCCAAAAATTTCAAAATAAAACCCAAATAGATTAACAATGCAAATTCAAGTTGGGTTGTGATTGATAAGTATTTGAACTTAAAATTTCAATTTCATAATTTTCTATCAAACAAACTCGGTTTTTTTTAATCAGTAATTAATGAAAATTTCAATGTTATTAGGGTCTTAGAGGCAATCCAATACTCATTGCCTGCCCACCTAAAGCCTACCAATAGTTCTCCATCCATATATACAACAGAACACATCTTAAGTGAGCTTCCAAGAATTAGAACACATTTCTATCAAGAAAACTCGTGGCCCATCATTTTATTAGTGGTCTTCATTACATCTAAATAGAAAATTCTACTTTTTGAATTTTTTTTATTTTTTATTTTTAAAAAAGGTTGGTATTCAGTGAGGCATTTCGGCAAACAACTAGCAGACGCTCATCAATCAAGTCTTTCATTAACTCTAAGAGTAACATATATACATCAAAATGATAAAGAATTGAAGATAACACCTGCGGAAGATTGCAGAGAAGAGAAGAACATTTATCACCTTTCACCGCAAAGTCGCCCGTACTCCTGTTTCTTCCTTGAACATCAAATTGTATTTTTTATTTTATATTTATTGAAGAATGGGCTGAAAGGACCTTAAATATATACACATATACATAAAAAATAAAAAAATAAAAAAGTATATTTTTAAAATTATCTTTTTTATTCTAAGTATTCTTAAATGACATAAAACATTAGCAATGTTATTATTTATAAAAAATAAAAACTAATCTAATTAATAAGAGGTTAGTCATTTATTTGCAATATTATTTCTAGGATGTTGTTGTAATTTTTTTATATATTAATAAAAATATTTGAGTTGTTTAATTCAAAGTTCTAAAATACTTATGATTAAAAGTTGACAGTTCTTCTTTTTTTTTAAAAAATAAAATAAAATTTGTGCTTTTAAAAAATAAAATGTTTTCGCTATTAAAATTTCTGCACTCATCTAGCTAAAAATATCAGCCATAAGTACGTACTAACTTCTGCTCATAAGACAAACATGCAAAACATTTTAGGATAGTAAACCTACTAAATTAACCGAAAGTCCTACTTTATAGGCAAAAGTCATAACTTAAGTATGTTGCTTTTGAGACATAAGTTTTAATTTTATTCATAAGGTATACTACATTCAAAACATTTTAAGACAATATACACGTTCAATTGACCACAAATAATACCTTACGACCAATAAATATTAGTGTCTGATGAACAAGCAACTTCTTGTAAAGTTGAGTTCATTTCTTAAAAAAATTATTAAGCAGATATAAAAATTCACCAAACACTTTAGGGAACACTCTGTGTCAGTGTTTTTAAAAACTTTTTGGGGACGAGTCTCGGGGCGGAACATACCAAAAATGTTTCGGGGCATAATTAAAGACGTAGATCTATAAGGCGTAAGTCCTAAAATTTGAGGCGTAATCCCCAAGCATAAAAACGTATGTCCGGGCGTTTTAAATTTATTTTTTTGAACATTTTTTGCTCTAAATAATGTTTTTATTATTGGTGCAATAATATTTCTCAAATACTAATTATAATACTTTTTTTCTTTATTATTGATTATTAATACTTATCTCAAATAAAAATCTTAAATCATTAAAAGGTTTACTTTTGCTTATTTTATTAGTAATAAAACTATAAAAATGAATATACATGAGACTACGCCCCGTAGATCCATAGGACTTACGCCCCCATGTCTCGAGGCTTACGCATCATCCTGTACTATATAAAATGCATCGCCTCACGCCCCCACCTTTTAAAACACTGTTGTGTGTAATGTTATCAACCATATGGTGGTGATAAGATTCATCAAATTTCAACATGTGTTGAATCTTTTTGTGTGGACATAATCCAGGAATCTGGAGCCAAGAATATTTAATGTCCCTCCCCCGATAACTGACACGTGTCCTTGCCCTTAATAACAACCGTCTATTCTCCTCGAGATTAACGATTCCCTCCGTGCTTCTGACAAGTATAAGAAATTTTCTCTTCTTCTTCACAAGTACACTTGACTTTGCTCTGCTGGTGTGTGCATCTTCAGAGGTAAAAATTTCATCCCTAGCTTTTTTGCTCAAATACTGAAATTCTATAAATATTTAGCTTTAAATTTCGTTATTATTTGTATATTAACTTGAGTTCCGTAGGAATTCATTCATAAAATTCTGAATCCGACTAGGTTAAACCATTTGATAAGCTTACAAGACACTAATTAATAGAAATTTATGTGTGTAAGGCCAATAATGAGTAATTTGAAAACTCATAATTTGATACGCTATATAGAAACAAAGAGCCAGTGATCAAATGGAGGCAGAAGATAATGTTGAATATTCGAGTTTACATAGAGGAGGAGCGAAATTCAGCAAGGTTTCATTTGTTCCTCTTACATTTCTTATATTCTATGGTGTTTCTGGTGGTCCTTTTGGAGTTGAAGATACTGTCCGTGCAGCCGGTCCATTTTTAGCACTTGTTGGCTATTTAATCTTTCCTATTGTATGGAGCATTCCAGAGTCTTTAATAACTGCAGAATTATCCACTATGTTCCCCGAAAACGGAGGATATGTTGTTTGGGTTTCAAAGTCTTTTGGTACTTATTGGGGATTTCAATTAGGATGGGTGAAATGGATGAGTGGTGTAGTTGATAATGCCTTGTACCCTGTTTTATTTTTAGACTACATTAAATCTTCTGTGCCAGCATTGGCGAATGGTCTACCAAGAACAATCGCCATTCTTGCTTTGGTTATTGCACTTACATATTTGAACTATAGAGGTTTAACTATTGTTGCTTGGGTTGCTACAGTTTTAGCGATATTTTCTCTCCTTCCTTTTGTAATTATGGGATTTATCGCGCTTCCTAAGTTGGAGCCTTCGAGATGGTTTGTTGTGGATTTAGAAAATGTACAATGGGGATTGTATCTAAATACACTATTTTGGAATTTGAACTATTGGGATTCAGTGAGTACTATGTCAGGGGAAGTGGAGGATCCTGGTAAAACAATTCCCAAGGCTTTATTCTATGCACTTCCTTTAGTTGTCTCTGGTTACTTTTTCCCTCTTTTATTTGGCACGGGAGCTGTTCCGTTGCATCGTGATCTTTGGAGTGATGGTTATTTCTCGGATATTGCTAAGATCATTGGAGGAGTATGGTTAAGATTGTGGGTTCAAGGGGCTTCGGCTGTGTCAAATATGGGAATGTTTTTAGCTGAGATGAGTGGTGACTCATATCAGCTTTTGGGAATGGCAGAACGGGGGATGCTTCCTGATTTTTTCGCAAAGAGATCGCGTTATGGAACCCCTCTTATCAGTATTTTGTTTTCTGCATCAGGTGTTGTGCTGCTGTCTTGCCTTAGTTTTCAAGAAATTGTAGCTGCTGAGAACTTTATGAACTGTTTTGGAATGATTTTGGAATTTCTATCTTTTGTCAAGTTAAGGATAAAATATCCAGCAGCATCAAGACCTTATAGGATTCCACTAGGAACAATTGGTTCAATTTTAATTTGTCTGCCACCAACATTATTTCTTCTTGTTGTTATAGCACTATGCTCATTTAAGGTCATGATTGTCAGTTTCTTGGCTATTCTTGTTGGCCTTATTATGCAGCCTTGTCTAGTTTATTGTGACAAGAAGAAATGGTTAAGTTTCTCTGTTATCTCTGATCTTGTAGAACTACAGACCAATTATCATCAGGTTGTTGAGGCTTAAAGTGATCAATGGGACTTGTATTTTCTTGATATTAGAAGCATTGAATTTGGGACAATTTAGAATGTTCAACTTGAACCCATGGCAGAGTGAACAATTCAGTCTACTTTGGTTTGTATTCAAGTGTGTGAATCACTATCATTGTACTATGCAAACAAGTTGTAAACATCTGACTTGCCAATTTTACATATCAGAAATGGGAGATGAGGTGGTTAGTCCTAAACTCCGAATTGCTCACTGCATTGGAGTTAATGGTGCCATTCTTGTTGATAGATTACATATTATATAGATTTTAAAAAATAATATCAAACTGTATGCATAGTTAGTTTGATGACTAAGTGATGAGACATCACTCATCAGTATCTATAAGAAGCCTATAGAGCAAAGAACAAAGTTCACCTTATCTTTACCTATCTGTCTTCACTCTAAAAAACCTCTTAATTATCGGACATTTCCAAGAGTCTTTCCTCTTAAACATCGTATTTCTTGTTCCTGTTTCACACTACCCAAGAAAAAATTAGTGCTAATCGTTGGTTTAAATAAACCATTAACCATTCACTTCAACCTTCTACATTTGCTTCCAAATACTCTTTTTGAGGTAAGGACTGGCATTGACTCATCGAGATCGACTATTCAGAAAGTCTTTTCCATCAGACGACTCATTAGTGGCAAAAGGAACAATGGGTGGGTTAAATGGAAACAGCCCAAGAGCCTCTCCGAAAGCCTCTCCAAGGAAAACATTTAGCCCAAAAAACTCTCCAAGAGCTTCTCCAAGAAAAACAAACACTACTCTAAAACAACTCCTTTTAGATTCAAGGAACATGACAAGTTCTCTTGATTCTGAGACAGAGGAATTGCTTTCTCTAATATCTTACTGTTCTTTCGCATACACTTTCACTGATCCACAAGAATCCCCTTCACAACAAGATTTAAAGAGGCTAAAACTCATCCAACTCCTTTCCATCATCAAGACTCTCATAAAACCACTTGATGATCAAGTACTTTCACCCCTTTTCATAATGGTGTCATCTAATCTTTTTAGGCCACTCCCACCACCAATTCACTCTGTTGTCTCAGTATTACCAGACGACGATGATCTTGTCAGCAATCCAACACCCTCCTGGCCACATTTGCAAATCGTTTACGACATTTTCCTCAGGATTGTCAGTAGAACAAGTGTTGAATCCCTCCATATCTACATAGACCACGCTTTCCTCCTTAGTCTCCTCGCGTTATTCCAATCTGAAGATCAAAGAGAACGCGACAACTTGAAGAATGTGTTCCACAGAATCTATTCAAAGTTAACATTCTACAGACCATTCATGAGAAAGACTATGCATGATGTATTCTTGCACTATGTTTTCGAGACTGATCAAAGGCACCCTGGAATTGGAGAGCTTCTTGAAATATGGGGCACAATTATAAATGGATTTAGTGTTCCTTTGAAAGAAGAACACAAGTTTTTCTTGAATAGAGTTCTTGTCCCTTTGCATAAACCAAAAGGGATGCAAGTTTATCATAGGCAGTTGGCTTATTGTGTATCTCAGTTTGTGCAAAAAGAGCCTGAACTTGGTGAGGTTGTTATAAGAGGCATATTGAAGTACTGGCCTATTACAAATTGCCAGAAGGAAGTTCTGTTTATTGGTGAATTGGAAGAACTTGTGGAGACTGTTGATCCACAATTGTACAAGGAACTTGCCCTGCCTTTGTGCACCAAAATTACCAAGTGTTTAAACAGTTGGAACTCGCAGGTAAATTACTTTTCTTTGGACTTGGCTTACTATTCAAGATTAACCATTCTAAATTGTTCATCTTCAAATTTCAAATGTTTATTAATAATATTTGCAAATGGATTTTAAGTACTACTAAGAATTGATATAACATCTATATGAGAGAAGCCATTTTACTCCCATTTGGTGAAAGACATTTTCTGTCATACCAAACCTACACTTATTGGATTTCAATTATGTAAGAGATGATGTTGGAGTAAACTAATGGTTCTGATTTTAGGTTGCTGAACGCGCATTGTATGTGTGGAACAATGAGCAATTCTGGAAGATGGCATCACAAGCAATGGAACAAGTCTTTCCAGTTCTAGTGGAAGGGATGGAGAAGAATTTGCAAGGACATTGGAGCAAAAGTGTTCGACAATTGACAGAGAATGTGAAGGGAATGCTGGAAGCTCTTGCACCATTTCTCTATTCCAAGTGCCTTCTACAGCTTGAAATCCAAGAAGCCGGTGAACGCATAGAAGAGATGAGAAGAAAAGAAATTTGGGAAAAAATTGAAAATGCAGCAATGTAATAAGAGAACATACTGTAAATGCATTTCATACAAAAGAGGCCTTGATAGTGACTGTTTCCCACAGCATCATGTCCTCTGACTTTGCCACAATTGAATATATCCTAGGAAATATCTTCAATCGATGTGATCACCAACTGTCTATGGCTAAAAACATTTTCCCATATGGAGACAACGATACACACGATGTAACACATTTCAATAAAGGGGTGATACTTCATATTTCAAAGAAGCAATTCTCAAACAAAATTCAATAAAAAAATTAACAAACAGAAATTTCAATACAGCATCTTTGAATTTCGCATTTCATTTCTAGTTATAACTATCAAATATTTTTTCATCTTCCTATAGACGGAAACTAAAAAATAGAGCAGGATAAAAATGACATAATATTTTCTCTAAAATGGTACATACATTTTAAACCCCTCTACCAATAACCACAAAGTACAGACAACAATTATTTCTCTCGCCCACCATCGAGATCATTCATACCTCATTCGACCTCCCAACAGACCATCTCTTTTGAACCTCCAGATGAGAAGGTGGATCAACAAATTCTGAGACATCTAGCTATGATATCGTAGTCTAAAATCAACCAATGGGACCTTATAATGGAAAGATAAAATCAGGAAAAGTTGCTCTTTAACCCAATATAAAATTCTCACACCCAATTATCTTAAGATTTAGGATCGCCCCTTCAGGACAGACACCGACAAAATCAAATATAATTGTTGCATCGCACACCTGTACACTAAATTTGTCAAACCTCAGCTTCTCCAATTGTCCAGCCAACTGTAGTGCCCAAAACCAGCAGCCCTGAAGCTTTGAAAGAATAAAAATAACTTCAATCTTCAATGAGAATGTTGCCTGGAGGAAATTGAACCCAAGACTATGTTTGCTCAACATGCATGGCAACAATAACAATCTGACAATGTTAAGAGTGACACCAACGCAAAGCCAATAGAGATCCATAGATGTGAAGTGTCATACAGCAGAGATGACAACATGCATTGAAACTTGGGAGATCCACTCTGTCAATAAATAATTAAACTTGATACATCGACAACTTGTCCTTCACTGAGGGCTCCAAAGCTGACATGAACTGTTCCCAAGCACCATCCTTGAGCATCTGACAAAATATCTCCAAGCTCAGAAATAATACATTTTTTTAATCTGGTAACGACCAAGCTCAGAATAATACATTGGACATCTTTATACCCTAAATATTATACCACTGAGAGTTAGTGAGAAAAAATGAGATTGGTCTTCCTTAGTTCCCATTTCTTCACCTGATTCATCTCCAGATGAAACTAACAAATTCTAAAGATGTCCAGAACTTTTGGGAGGAAGCAACTTAAAAAGTAAAAAGGAGGAAGAAAAAGAAACAAAAAAATGTGTAGAAGAATTACTCTCCATAATTGTTTTCCTTATTTCGATAAAAAGGAAGAAGAATTACTCTGTGCTACAAAGGAAGACCAATTCACAAATTCTCAAGTAAAAATGCAATAAGACATGAAAAGATACCCGTCTAGAGCAGATGAAAAAGAAATAATTACAGTATCGGGCAATGCTTACTTGCTTATATCCCTGCAAAACCAAGCAGATTTCATTGCGTAGATCTTCACTTCTTATCTCCTGAGAAGGATCACAACATGAGGATAATAAAGAAAAAAAATATCGGAGTTTCTCTTCCACGGTTGAAAATACAGAAACTGGAAACAGAAAGCTTACATGCCAACTTGCAATGGCTTTGCACATAAAGACGAGTGAATTTAATGCACCTGATGGATTTGCCTTTACCTGAATAAATTTGAAACCAAGACACACCTGCAGTTAGATAACAACTTTTAACAGTTTTAGAAAAGAACAATTACTTGTTTCCAATTTATGAGAACTTCTTGCATTTTCTAGAATGAAGTGTAGTACTTCCAAGTATAAAGTCTAGGTTAGTGTAAAGAAATGGATCTTTGGCCTCACTCAACCCCAAAAGTTGGCTCAAGAGGTGAGGATTGCCCAAGTCATATAAAGAGACCACCCATCCCATAATTGACTGATGTGGGAATTCTTCAACACCTCAGGTCACCCCATGGCTGGATATTTGAAGTGTGGGCAATTTTAATATGGGGGTCCAACATCGTGAATGAGAATTGGGATGGGTCCTACACTGATACCATGTAAAGAAATGGATCTCGAGACTAACTCAACCCCAAAAGCTAGCTCAAAATGTGAGATTGTCCAAGCCATATAAACAGACCATCCATCCCATAATTGACCATTGCGGGACTTCTTCAACAGTTGATATAAGATCATGTGTACTGTCCTACGTTAATTCAGCTTCCAGGATGCCATCATCCATAAGTGGTCCAACAAAAGGACAGCAATTTAAAGCTTTCAATATTAGGAAATTTATAATAATTTAGCAGTATTCAGTTCTTTGTGATCTGAACCGAAGAGGCAATATCAGAAGACGAAACTACCATTGCGCATAAACCACGAAAGGCGTCTTCCTTTTCAATATCATCACGTATCCTGCCACAAAGTGAGAACAAATTGGAGGTCATCAATGAGGCATTTTGTGCATTGTAATATGCTGATCAATATTGATGCAAGAGGAGAGTCAGGAATGGGTGGGTTTTGACACATTCAGTTCTATGAAAGGAGAAGAGAAGATCACAGCTTCACATTGTGAAAGGAAGTTTTTTTCTAATCAAACAAGCTTGACAAATTAATGTGTTAGTTATGCAGCAACGAAGAATGGGTGCCAAAGATACTATCGCCTTTTATCTATGTTTTTTTCCTCTCAAAACTTGATGAGCTTGAAAAGAAAAGTAACACTATTAAAGCTAATGACATTCAACTATCTGCACTAAGACCTCCAACATGCACATCCTTTTGCATTACAGAATAATAAAAACAAAAACACATACCACGGCTTCAAAGAAAACATTATTACTTCTTACCATGTGGTATTATCAATCATTAAAATAATATTCCCACTGGTTTTTTTTATAAGGTATAATACTCCTGGTTGTCAATTAAGGCTTTGACACACCCATTAAGAACGATAAGCATTAATCATATGTATTATGCTGTAATTTGACTTAATTATTCCCATCTTTTTCTTAATTGGGTAATTAATGATTATATGGCCCTTCTTGGAATAGTAAGGGTGGAGTTGGAAAGAATATTATTAATGCTTTCTTGATTTTCTAAAGTGACAAAAATTTTGGACAATAATTTTGGCAAAGATGACACATAAAAGGGACTGAAGGGAGTATTATTTTGGAGTTCGGCAAAGTTAACAAAAAATTTGCTAAAGCGTGCGTCTCAGGAATTAGCAACCCAACTTCAGATTGACAATGTTAAGATGGAGGTATTTCAAGTCTCGCCATCAAATATATGGAGAAGAGTAAGCCAAATTAACACTCTTCAGTCAAATTTGGTCAGCATGACCACATTACTCTCTGTTTCATGCAAAAAAAGCCTACAGTTCTAAAGTTTTCAATGCATGAGCATGTAGGACTTCTAGTCACCATGAATGGAACAGCTGCAGTTGGAGTTAACTTACATAGACAGAGCAAAACACCATGTTTGCAGAAAATGCTCCATATGTGGTGACACAAGCTCCGGACAAACCCATGCAAGTCTTCCAAGGGTGATTGCGCTATTCTCTATCAGTGACTTGTTCAGACCCTTCTTAGAACCAAGTATAAAATGAGAAGAACAAAACACAATACATTTAGGCACAACATACATGCATTTTATGCATATACAAACAAACGGGATCAACCAACCAATCACAAAATATTTCAATCTTAGATAGGAAACAGATAATTACCTCAGCATGTTGAAGGATTGGTACTAAGCATGAGACTACAGTCAGGACTACTGGAGATATCTCTTTTTGGACCTGAAATTATAAAGTTCAACATCACATTTGTAGTCCATAAAACAAGACAAATGAAAATGCATATTATCTATTGGGAATCAAGTTGGCACGAAACAAGGAGCACAAACACAGTTGAAAGAAGAGAACTTGCACCTTAAATATTAAGGCAAAAAGTTCAGTGCAATCACAAATATATATTTTGCAGCTCCACGTCATTATCAATGATAAGGATCATTTTCAGACAATAACCAGTAGGCAGGAGTGCCAAATTCAACAAGACCCTCTTTACGTGGATTTGCATTGCGCTAGTATGGGTATCAGTATCATTGTATTATGTTTCATGTCGATAAATTACTTGAGTACAGTGATTTTTCAATCTGTGTTGTGAAAGGGGTTAATTGATATATTTTTGGGGAAATTATTCTATGAAAAATTGCTTGTTTAGTAACCCCATTTACATGGGATAAAGATTCTGCGGAAAAGATGTGTCACCTATGTATGTTGTTGAGGATTTTGTTTGTGTTGGATGTCTCAAGTTGCATGCTACACCTCCACCAACGTTAATTTTTTTAAGGAATGCACCACCCTGTGTATTTGATAAACTGGCCTACGTGAACTTGATTTTGAGTTTTTAGTATAACCTAGCAGTTATCCAATGGCTTATGCATGATTTTTCACAATCGGTGTCAAAATTTCAATATAATATCAATGTCAGATCAGTATTGTATTAATTATCCCTCAGTCTGCCACAAAAATATCCTCTTGCCTGGCCCCCAAGGCCTAGCTCGAGTGGCAAAAGGTGGAGGATTTGTGACTTAGGTCGCAGGTTCAAGCCCCAGACCATGCAAAGCGAAGCCCGGTATTTAAGTGGAGAAGGGTAGAGGGGCGGGCCCATTATCCACCGAGTTTAGAAGGTTGTGATTGGTCCAAAGGGTGGGTCACAGACGGATTTCTCGGTTTTCAAAAAAAAAAAAAAAAACCCTCTGGCCTGTTGGTTTATATGTTCCTTACTATAAGGGAAAGTCTGTTTTCCAAATAATGATAAAAATGTGTATCTGGGAAGGACCCATCCCCTGAGTTCCACTCAATAAACTCAATGCCTTGAGACCATTGAAACAAGAAATGGAGTAGGTTAATT